CTATAATTCTGAAACTAGATTTTTATAAATTTAGAAATAAATAAAAAAAAAAAAAAAAAATTATTTTTATTTGTTTTTTAAAAATAGATAATTTTTTATTTTTATTTTATTTATAAGCAATAACTTTTTTTTCATATTTTTTTAAATTGATGAAAAATTAGTTACCATAATAATAAATAATAATTACCACGTATATATGTGGGAATTAAACAAATATATAAAAACTAATAATAAAACACCACATTTCCCTCTTTTTTTAAAAAAAAAAATATAAAAACACACTATTAATTTTTTAATTTATTATAAAGTTTTCAAAATAAGAACTATAAATACAATCATTTTGCAATGTATTTAAAATATCTAATCTATTATTCTTTTTAATATATTGGTAGGTGGAATCATAGATTGTAAAATTTTCACCTTTTTTTGTAACAGGAACATTTTTAAATAAATTTACTAATTTCAAATCACCAGATTTAATAGAGTTATTTAGAGCATCCCTAGAAACTTCCAAATGGCCAACTTTACTTAGAAAATACTCTGCTAAATCGAAGCTTCCCTTTTCAGCTACTCTATCAAGCGATCTGTAAGTGATCAGAATTCTTGGATCTTTGTTTATGTAGCCCTCGACAATGTACTTGGCATACTCCAAATCACCATTGTATGCGCTATGGAATGAAATGTCGTTGAATCGCAGGTCGGTGTAGGTTTCAAATAGATATTTAAATATTTCAAAAGAAGTGTCTCTCCAATACTCCATATTGTAGTTATTAAAATTTGGCTTTACATTAAACTGTTTAATTGAAAATACCAGCATTTCCAAATTTTGTTTCTTGCAAGCATCTTTCACCATATATTCACCGCTAATCGTTAGATCTGAGAAAAAACTTTCTTTTTCTTTTAAAAGATATTTCAACACTTCAAAACTCTCTACATTCCAAATTTCATTTGTAAATAAAGGAACTTTATCTTTTTCTTTTTTAAAAGATTTTATAATACCATAGTTTTTTGAATACTTTTTTATAGAATCTACAATATATTTTATATACTCTATTTTGGAACCCATAATATTAGTTATCTCTGTTATATAATATGATTTTATGTTATAGTCAAACCTATGTTCATCTTTAATGAGAAATTCAATTCTCTTTCTATCCAAACTTTTAATTGAATAAAATAGTATTTTGTTTTGAACTGAAGGATCTTTTAATAACTTGTTAAATTCTTTTATATCTTTAAAATCTTGATATAATTCAATAAAAATTTCTGATGGGATAGTCTTTGATTCGAAAAAACCAATAAATTCATTTTTTTCTTTAATTTGTTTAAATTTTTTTAATGCTTCTTTTCTATTACCAATTTTATTTTTATAATATTTATAACTTTGATATTTTAAAGTGAATAGTTTTTCATTTAAAAAAACAATATATAATGGAAATGAATCTAGGCTTCTATATCCATCATCTGTTTTTCTTTGAACAAAACCAAATATTCGTTTAGAAATAACAATATTATTAAAAACCTGTGTGTATAATTCTTTTTTCATATTTATTTAAATAAAAAATAATAAAAAATTTTTTAAATTATCATAAAAACTTTAAAGAAAAAAAAAATATCATTAAATTAAAAATCAAACTTTTTTTTTCTTTTTTTTTTCTGTGTGCATATTTTAAAAAAAAAAAAAGAAAATTGGTATTAAGAAATATTTAAAAAAAAAAATATATATATATATTTGGTTTATTTTATAACATTTTTTCAATTCTTCTATTATTTGTATGTAAACGGTCATTAGCTTGATCAACCTAAATAAAATAAAACAAAATAAAAAAGTTAATATTTTACTATAATTTTTTTTTTAATAAATATGATATCTTACTCTAACTGTTATTCTATCTAATTGTTCAGATGAACGATCAGCTTCATCACCAATAGTTCTAGCAATGTTTGAAATATCACCTAAAAGGTTTGAAATTTCATCTAAATCTTTATCTTGTTCTAAAAGGGCACCTTTAATATCTTCTGGAGCATCTTTAACGAAATGGCTAATACCTAATGTGGAGGCTCTAGTAAATAATGATGATTGTTGATTGGCTCTACCAGCTGATGGAATGAAACGAATAGTTGGATTACCATAAACAAATTCTTTAATTCCTGGTTCGAAAATAACCTTTGGTGCTTTACCATATTTACCATTTGATCTTAAAACGATTTCATTTACAATATTTTGAATATAACTACTTGCTAATCTGAATCTTGGATGTTTGTTACCAAAGAATCTGAAATCCATATGTTGGGGTCTTGCTCTAATAACTAAATATTCGATTAAATCAAAGGTATAGGTGGACATACCATCAACTTTTTGTTTTTTATTGGCATCTAATACAATAAATCTATCATTGTGAATTTGAATAAAACCTGGTACTAAACTGTCGTTTGATAATTTTTCTAAAATATCAATTTCTGCAGGTGGTTCATCTCTTGGACGAACTTGAAGTGTTCTATCGATTGGTTCAAATTCTGGTCTGTTACTTGGTTTTTCTTTATTAAAAGAATTTGAAATAGCCCCACCAAATGACTCTATACCCTTTAATAAACGATCGGATCTATCTAAATTAGCATGAATATTCTCTACATTTCTTTCAATATTATCAATAACTTCGGCTTGATAACTAAGTTCGTTTAAAGTTGAAATACCTGTTTCTTTAGTCTCTACTGCTAATCTTAATGCCATTTTAGTTGATTCTGTGTCGACTCTTGATGATTTTTTATTCATTTGCTGTTGTTGTTGTTGTTGTCCTTTAAACAAATTACCCTCCTTAAGTTCGCTATCAACTGAATTTGGGTTATAAATAAGAGGTGGGCATTTCCAAAGATGATGAATTAATGTAAATGCTTCATCTCTGTGTGAAAAAGTTCCAAATGATAAAGTTTGTGTTGAAGTTTGAAATGTTATTGCATTATTTACAAATAAAGTAGTATCTTTTTTCATATCAAGGATTTTTCTTAATGGAATAACTTCCTAAAATAAAATAGTAATTAATAATCTATTCTATAATTTAGCTTTATTATTATTATTATTATTATTATTATTATTATTATTATTATTATTATTATTATTATTATTATTATTACTTTTAGTATTATAGTGTAATTTTAAAATAATAACATACAGTTGTACTACCAATCGATGCTATAAATGATAAATAATTTTCTGTAATATATAACTTTCCTAATGTTACTTTATTTAAAGCACATGAATAATCTTGAATAACATTTTCGGTATCTGGGAAATTAAATGTTCTTCTAACTAAATCTGTTTTAACTTTTAAATGATTTGCCTTATCAGCTGGTGATGTCTAAAATATATTAATAAGAAACTAGTTTGTTAGTAAAATATTATAATATAATAAACTATAAAGAGTTGTGATATTTTATTTACCATTTTATTCTTCTTGTTTTTAATTTTATATTAACTACTATTACTATGCTATATTGTTGCTATTATGAAATGTTTTGAATAAAAAATAATAAAAATAAAAAAAAAAAAAAAAGATTTTTTAACACACTTTAGATTATTTTAAAAAATAAAATAATAAAATTGTGGGTATGTACGTTTGTGTGTGTTATTTTATTAAAAAGAATATTAAATTAAAAATAATGATAGAATAATAATTATTTTAAACTATATTTATTATTATTTTAACACACAAAACTTTTTCAAAAAAAAAATAAAAAAATAAAAAATATAAAAAATATAAAATTTTTTTTTTTTTTTTTTTTTTTTTTTTTTTTTTAAGATATTTAGTTTTTAACTCCTTTGACATTGATATCTCACATTTTCAATAATGTTGTTGTTATTTTTTTTTTTCACAAATAAACAATAATAACATCATCATTTTATCAGAGCTTTCCAAATAAAATTATTTCTTTTAAAAACCCAAGACCTTTTTTTTTTTTTTTTATCATAATCATATTTCTAAACAAAGATATTTAATAGATAAGTTTACAAACCTAAGACCCTTTTTTCATAAAATAAAACTAAATTAAAAACAATTGGAAAAAGCATTTTAGTTCCTCTATTTAGAGTTTATAATACTACAAACGATTTAATAAATTTTTTTTTATAAATTTATTATATATTTTAAATATCACAAAAGATAATTAAAAAATCAATCTGATTATAAAATGATATTAATTTCTTAAATATCTCTCATTTTATTTGTTTTTTCATTTTTATTTATAAATAATTTTTTGATTAAATAATGTTATTTTATTTAATTTTTTTTTTTTAATTTTTATAAAATATTTTTTTTTTATTTTATTTTTTTTTTATTTTTAATTTTTTTTTTTTTCGTTTTTTAAATTTTGTCGTAATTTTTTTTTTTATTTTTTTTTTTTATTTTTTATTTTTATTTTTTTATAAATTATACAAACACATAAAAAGAGATGAGAATCGAAAAGTGTTATTTCTGTGGTGGTCCAGTTTATCCAGGTCATGGTGTTATGTTTGTTAGAAACGATTGCAAGGTACTATTATTATTATTATTATTATTATAATTATTATTACAATTACAGTTATAATCAAAAAAAAAAAGAAATAAAAAAAAAAAGGAAAATAAATACTAATAAATTTATTTTTTTTATTATCTTTAGCAATTCCGTTTCTGTGGATCAAAATGTCACAAGAACTTTAAATTAAAACGTAATCCACGTAAGACTCGTTGGACTAAAGCTTTTAGAAAGCTTAATGGTAAAGAAATGACTGTTGATAAGACTTTAGAATTTGAAAAGAAACGTAATAGACCAGTTAAATATGACAGAGAATTAATTAATCATACTATCGAAGCTATTGCTAAAGTTGAAAAGATTAAAGCACGTAGAGAAATGACTTTCTATAAAAATAGAATGCACGGTGTCAAAGCTATGGAAAAGAAACAAAAATTAAAAGAAATCAATCATGGTGTTAATCTCATTTATGCTCCAAGCGCTTTAGTTAAAATACAAGGTTTACTCAAACAAAACGAACAAAAAATCGAATCTTTAACCACCACCAAAATGAAGCAATAAACCAACTTCAACCAACCTCCTCCATCAACAACCAACCAACCAACCCACCCACCCATTCCAACAATAACAGTAATAATATATAATTTTTCACTTCCAATATAAATTATATTTGTATATTTTTTCTCTTTTAAATAATCGAAAATTTCTAATCACGCCCAACCCAATAAATCATAGAATGAAATATAGTTATTTCATTTTAAAAGCTATAAAAAAAAAAAAATCATATACAAAAAAAAAAAAAAAAAAAAAATTGTTATTTTAAACTTTATAATATAAATAATAATAATGATAGAGTTTCATTATAGTTATAGAATTTTAAATAAAATAAAAAAAATTTAAAAATATATTTTTTTTTTCTTTATTTCTTTATTATTTATTATTTATAAATTATATATATTTTTTATTGTTAAATATTATTGTTAAATATAATTGATTTATCGTCTTTGTATGAATAGATTACAACAAAAGGATAAACTTTCCATTTTAAAATTTGTGCTTTTAAATGTTGAAGCTTTTCTTTGTTTGCACGAGTATTTTTTGAGGAGTCACCATAATCTGTCATTGAAAATTCTCTAATTATATTATATGCGATATCAACAGCTACAACTCTAATAGTAGATCCTTTAGTTTGAATGAAATCTTTAAATAGCCTTGAAACGTGTTCACGGATGGTAGTTTCTAATTTTGATTTTTTAATTGAATCGTCACAACCTAGGACTTCTAAACAGAGTTTTAAGTTACTTGATGGATCTTCGTTTAAATTCACTACACTGCTTACTACACCGCCACTACCAATAATACTTTTTCCACCAAATCTAACTTTGGTTTGGCTTGTACCTCCAATACTACTATTACTATGATCTATCGAAATTGAGCCACTGCTATTGATACTGCTGCTACTATTTATAATACTGTTTGAACTATTGATACTGCCTCCTCCACCACCTATACTACTAACACTATTTAAACTTGATGTTAAGTCATTCGCATTATTCGTATTACTATTTAAATTACTGTTTGTGTTGTTTGAGCTTATATTATTATTATTGTTGCTATTGTTGTTATTATTTGAAATATTATTTACATTATTTATATTACTATTATTCATATTGTCACCAATTGAATTTATATAGCTATTATTAAATATATTTATATTACTAAGATTTGTACTAAAATTTTTAATTTTCTTCTCTTTTAAGATATAGTCTACTAAATTATTTCTAAGGATTGAAACATCACTTTTGTTCTTTAGGTAACGAACTTTCAAAGTGCCCTGTTGATATGAACCTTCTTTAATAATGATACACCATGGTATACCATTTTGTCTACAGTGAGAGTAAATATCTTCATGACTAGAGTATTCGGTTTGGGAGTAGTCAGCTTTAACATCAACTGACCAAAGTTGTGATGCAACTTGAAGTTTTTCTGTAAGCATTGGTGAACCTAAAGAGCATACAAATACTTCTATATGTGATTGGAATCTTGATTTTGGTGATTTTGTTTTGGCTAATAAATGTTGATTATTGAAATTTAATACAGTATTTACAATTTTTTCACAGGCAATAGTAACACCAATACCACAGACGTTACCTGATTGCAATGGATTTGGATGAAGTTGGCCAATTAGTTTATCGTATCTACCACCTGCCATTATGATTTCAGTTTTAAAGTTTTGAGAATTGGCTGGATTATGACGTTGAACAACTGCTTGAAAAACTATTCCGTCATAGTATTGAATATTATGAATTAAGCTAAGGTCAAATGTAAATTTGTGAATGATATTAATCATTTTAAGATTTCTAACTAGTGTTTTAAGATCACTCAAACCTGCTTTGCTTTCTTTATGGCCTGATAGTAAATTGGAAAGTTGATCGACCGCTATCTCTAATTCTTGATCTTTTCTAAATATAGTGGAGAGCATGTGAATTACACCAGGTGAAAGTGTATCTCTTAATGAGTTTGAGACATGATCCCAATCGTGCTTCCAATTTAAGAATGATAAGCTTTGACATACTTTATCATAATCTTTTTTGTCTACACCGCAATGGGATAATACACTGTCCAATATGCTATATTGACTAAGACGAATTTTATAGCTACTATTAGGACCAAATTCTTTAGAAAATTCATCCATGATTTCTACTACGATACGTAAAATTTCTGCATCATTGACACTACGGGCTTCTGGTGGACCAACAATATCAAAGTCACATTCGAATAGTTCTTTGGGTGAAAATCCAGGTGCTGATCTACGATAGACTCGAGCAAAGGTGAAACGTTTAGAGTGTTGAATGCCATGAATTACAACATGTCTTGCCCATGGAACAGTAAGGTCATAGGGTAAATGTACAACTGTACCACCTTCATCCAAGAACTTGGCAACATTTAAAGCATTGCTATGAGTAGAGTCTTTTGGGAAAAGTGTTGGAGTATCAATTCTAAGTGCACCATGGTTTCTAAATATGTTTTCTAAACGTACAAAAGTTCTTTCACGACATATCAGGTGCATCGGCGATAATGATGGATTTGATGTATACAGATAACGTGACATAATGTGTTCATCACTGGTGATGCTAAATAGTTTCTCCATTAAATAGGAGTATAATGAAATGGTTGGATTTGCAATGGTTTTAATAGCCTCCTTTAAAAGCTCATCTTCCATTTTTGATGGTAATAAACCGCTTTCCAAGAGATCTTTGGTTGATGGTCTTTTGCTTGGGTCACGGGATAGAAGTGATCTGATAATATTTGCTTGATCTGGTTTTAATGATTCAAAGCCATGTGGGAACTTTAGGTTGTCTCTTAAATCTCGAAGAATATTACTACGTTCCATTTGTGTTTGAAAGGTGAAGCACATTTCGAAAAATATAATACCTAGAGAATACATATCAACTTTGTTATTATAATGCTTGATATTCTTTTCTAAAATTTCTGGGCAGCAATAAAATGGTGTACCAACGCCACCAGTCATCGAGTGATTATCATCATTCCAAGTATGGGATGGATATTGTTGTGTGAAGTTATTGGTTGAGGATGTTGACGATGACAAATTCATTTTGCCAATATTTATTTCATCCTCTTTATTTGATACACCCGATGTTGCTAAACCAAAATCACCAATTTTAACATTTTGTTCATTATCAATAAAGATATTTGCTGGTTTTAAATCTCTATGAATAATTTGTTGATTATGAATGTGATTTAAACCTTCAACAATTTGACGTAACAACCTGAAAGATTCTTCTTCTGAAATTTGCCCATTATCAATAAGGGTTTTTAGAGTCTTTTTACTACAATATTCCATTTGAATGTAAAGAGTGTGGGTTTCTTTTGGTTTTGTTTTGGCTGAAAGTTTTCTGGATTTTGATTGTCTTGACATGCTATTGGTAATTATACGTGACTTTTCCTGATAGTTGTAGTTTGATTCAATACCTGTCATACCGCTATTGCCATAGCCAGTAACACTATACTCCAACAAAGAGTCATTATAATTTGAATCATCGTCATCGTCATCTTCATCTTCATCATCTTGATTATCATCGTCTTCATCATCGTTTGTAAAGTTGTTTTCTTCATTTTCTTCATCGTCATCATTGTCATCTTGGTTTTCATCGTCGTCGTCATCTTCATCATCATATATATCACTGAAACTATCTGATTCATTTTCAATGATTCTAGATTCATCCAGACCAACACCACCAGCTTCACTTTCTTCGGTATTGCCACTATAGCTAAAGCTTTGTGATTGATTTAATTGAGACTCTAATAGTTGTTGCTTTAATTTCTTTTTCTTTTTTCCTTTTTGTTTTTTCTTTGTAGATGGTTTCTTTTTATTTTCAATGATCCTTGTTTTTTCATTATTTGAGCAACTTGTACCAATTTCATCACTTGTTGCACTACTAATTAATTTATTTAAACCATTGTTACTTCTATTTAATGTATTTGTTGATAAACTTAGGCCACTATATGAATCACGAGATATAATTGATCTACTGTTGTTAATACTGGATTGTAAAAACCAATCTTCACTGGCATCAGTTTCTAAATCACCAGATAAATCTTCATGTTCATCGATGGGAAGCATTGATACATCAGTTTTTTCAATCCAAGCTTGATAATATCTGACTACAAATTGATGATGCAATCTTGATAAAGTTGTGACTTCTCTTAAAAGTTTATTTAATGAGCTATCATGCTCATTACCATGATCGGAATATGCTGTGGTTTTAATTTTCTTGATTGCATAGTATCTTAAATCTAACTTATTTCTGCTCTTTACAACAACACCAAAGCCACCTTTACCAATCATTTCAATCTCTTCAAAATCACTTTTATATCTTGAATATAGACCATACATTTCTTGTTGATCATGAAAATTTTTATTTTTAGAGGGTGTTGTTGGTAATGCTTGTTTATTCGATGGTGATAATTGATTATTATTATTATTATTTAGTGTTGGTGAGGTATTTTGCTTGGTTTGTTGGCCCTTGCTTATTGGTGTGGTTGGTATACTCATTGATGAATTTGTATTTCTTAATGAAATTTCACAAGATGTATTTGTTGATGAGCTTAATACTTCTGAGGATGTAGAGCTTGACAGATTCTTTTTCAATTTACTTCTACTATCTAGTAGTTTCAAATTATTGGTAATATTCATAAAGTTTGAAGGTGGAGAAAAGTTTCTAGTGTTTATGAATGGATGATTTAAAAGGATACCAGCTTCTAATTTAAGTTTTTCACTTGGATCCCCACTATTAAAAGTGAAACAAACTGAAAGGAAATCTTTTACATGTGATGAAATTGATCCACTTGAGGGATGGGTTTTTGATTCGACCTCTTTAATTAAATCATATTGTTGCTGTAGTTGGTATTGAAGAGGTGGTGGTGGAATATGGTTTTGTTGGGGAGTATATAATTGTTTTAATTGGGAAAGGAAATTCTTAACAGCAGGAGTATTGGCCAACATACTACCACAGAGCATTTCTAAAACAACGATACCTAAATTAACCAGATCCTCACGACGAAATACAAAGTTGTTAAATCTTTCAGATTCTTTTGGCTTTACCCAATGATTTAAATTCTTTATTGAATTGAGTTGGTCAAAGTGATCAAAGATCTTCATTGCTTTACCACCATAGTTTGTAAGATACATTTTGGGTTTGGTTTCATCAAATATGATATTATCCGAAGTCATTTCTCTGTGTGGGATTTGTTGTGAGTGTAAAAAGAGTAAGCCTAAAAGCAATTGATAAGTAAATTTTCTGACGACATCTTCTGCAAAGCCAACTCCCATGCTAAGAATCTTTTGCTGTAATGTTTGGCTTAGTGGGATGTGCTCTTGGAAGATGTAAAGTGAATCTTGGTCATAATTGGTGCCATAGTACTTTATAATGAATGGATTATCTAAATATTTCATTGATTCGATTTCTCTTTGTATTAAATTTACTTTGATTGCTAAATCTTTTTTTAACTTGTTTTCATCAATTTCATTACTTGGTGATTCATCTCCATCGCTATCATCTTCATTATTACTTGAGCTGTTATTTGTTAAACTGTTGCTGCTATTAAAACTGTTATATAAATTTGAATTTCTTTCATCTACACTTAGGTCTATAATCTTGCAAATCATTTTCTTGTTATTTTGTAAATTGATACCTTCATATACAGAATAAAATGATTTCTGCCCAATACAATTTCCTTGTTTCCATTTTACTTTTGGTATTTTAATATCATCTATTAAACTATTATTATTATTATTAGTGGTGTTGTTGTTGCTACTATCTTGAATATTATCATCGTTGTCATCTTTATTATTATCACTGTCATTATCTTCTTCATTATTATTCTCTTGGTTTTGTGAAGCTACTGCCGGTATATCATCAAATTTGTTTATATATCTTCTATCTTTTTTACCCTTTCTCTTCTTTTTTATATTGCAATTGATGTTTGTATTGTTGTTTGGTTCGTTTTCACTATCGTTGTTTCTGAAGCCCCTTATGTCATCAAAGTCAATACTTAAACTACCTTTGATTGTTGCTAATTCATCGTTATTCTCTTCAAATATACTATCTGGGTCTAAAGCATTTAAAGAATCAAAACTAAAGTTTTGAGGTATTATTGGAGAAGAGGGTGGTCTGCTACTATTACTGATATTATTACTACTATTACTACTATACATTTCCTGTTCTTCTTTTAATGGATTACGATGATTTGGTTTGTTTCTAATGTTATTATTACTTTCATTATTACTATTTAATATGCTATTACTACCACTGTTGTTTAATAAGGCATAGTCGTCCTCTTCATCACTATTGATGATCATATTATCATTTTCTTCACTATTGTCTTCGCAATACTCTTCATCATAGTAATCATAGTCCATTCCCCTATCGTCACTATCTCTAATTGTTTGACCGCTACTGTTTGTTAATCTTTTTATCATTTCGTCGTGTAAGCTACCAGTCTCTTTATTATTGTATAATAGTAAAAACTCTTGAGTAGCTTGGCACAATTCGAACACTATTATTTCACCTGGTATTAATTTTAGTTTTAATAGTTGTTCACATTCCATAATTTGTTCATCCGATAGTCCTTTAACTTTTTCTAAACTAATTTTTGGAAATGAATTTGGATAATTTGGTGTATATTTTATACATAATTTAACTATTGGTATAAAATTAATTATTTGTTAATATTCGATCAATTTTAATATAATATTAATATTTTAATAAACACTTACCTGAACAAAAATTTTGACTAACACTACCAGTTGGGTGGGGTATTATTGTAATTTTAAATCTTCTACAAACTCCCTCCATTGGTAACTCCTCAAACCTATCCTGTTATTAAAAAAGATAAAAAAAATTAATATGAATTCTTTAAAGACAGGAGCCCACAATTTAAATATTATAACTATTTATTACTTACAAAAAAGATTGATTTTAAAACATCAATTTCGTCTTGTTGTTTACTATCATTCTCTGGATCTAATAATGGTGGTGGCGAATTACCATTACTATTATTATTACTATTGTTGTTCATCTTATTATTAATATTATAAATATTATTTTATTATTGATGTTGTTATTATAATACTATTGGGTTTTATCGATATAATACTATATTTATTTTACGAATTTTTTAAAATTGTTTTTCTTTTCGAAACAATTTATTATTTTTGGGTTGTGTTGTTGGGTTATCTGTGTTGTATATAAAAAATTGTGTGTGTTTAGTGTTATCTTTAAATTTAAAAGGTTTCTTCAATTGATTTAAGTACAAAAAAAATTATAAAAATAAAAAAAGAAAAACCTATTTAAATTGTATTGGATACTAATGACAACCTTTTTATTAAAACAATTCACTATTATTATTATTTTTAAAGGAATTGAATGAATCTTACTTCATCAAAAATAAATAAAAATAAAAAAAAAGTATAAAAAAACAAATTATATAGTTTATAAATTTAGTTGAATATTATTATTATATCATTATTATTTGATAAATAAATAAATAAACAAAAAATATTAATTTTTTTTAAAAAATAAAATTTTAAAAAATTTTATTTTTTTTTTAAAATTATTTTTTTTAATTTTTTTTTAATTTTTTTTTTTTTTGGGGAACAACTCTCCAAATAGCATCTGCGTCTCTTTATGAGATATTAAAAATAATATTTACATTTCAATTTCGAAAATATCAATCTTATTTAATTATTTATTCAAGGATTAGTTCTTCACCATTTATTTCAAATTGAAAAATATTATTTAGAGTATTTTGTAATATTTTATCCATATCCATAAAATTTGATAATAATTGTTCACACATTTTGTTTCTAAACCAATTAACATCTTTTATTTCGAGTTCTCTTTTATTAAAATAAAAAAATTAATGCGAACAAATGTTTCCAAAGTTATTTTTGAAAATAACAAATTAAAAAAAAAAAAAAAAAAAGAATTTATTAAAATTTTAATGAGTGAAAAATAAATAATTAATAAACAATAAATAATTAATAATGTCATTCAAATATTGTTACTTTAGATATTCATCACCATTTATTTTAAAAATAAAAATATCAACTATTTTATATTTTAGGAAAATAAAAAATTAAATTAAAAAAAAAGAATTTTGTTTTTATTTATTTGTAGATTCACCATTGATAAAAAAGCAAAAAATATTCTTTGGTGCATTTTGTAATATTTTATCTTTATCTTTGATATCTTCTATACCAATATGAAGAATTAAAATGGATTTTGGTAAATTTTGTAATGATTCGAAATGTGTAAATTTTTTACCTAACCTCAAAATAATAAGGCCAGATGGAATACTTTCTTTAATTATTGGTTGGTTGTAATTTAGTAGAATTAGTATTTGAACATTTTTTGGAATATGATTATTTCTTTTTAATGGTGATTGGAAATTATAATTGGACATTAAGACTTTTATTGATGAAGGAATTTTGTCACCATGATTTAAAAGATTAAAACCATCACCTAACCAAAGAGCCTCCACTGACTCTGGAATAGATGATTCTTCGAAATCATAGGTATTTGATTCCAGATGAAGAAACTTGATTGATTCAGGTAATGATTTTTTTATAATTGGATGATTATGTGACTCAATGGCGAGGGCTTTAAGTGTACGAGGAATTGCGTCAACAGGTATTGGATGATTAAATAGAGGCATACTTAAAATTTTTATAGTGGATGGAATTCCATTTGGAAATGTTGGGTGGTTATAAGATGATAGTGTGAGATATTCTACTGATGATGGAATAAAGTGAAGTGATATTGGTTTATCAATAATTAAATCTAAGTATCTTATTGTCGATGGAATAGGAGTTTGTTCTTGGGGATTTGAAAGATCAATGGTTGTTGATATGTCAGGTTCTTCTATATTTTCTAGATCTGCCATGAGTTTATAGATCTAGTATTATATTATGGTAAAAATTAGTATTTTTTAATAAAAAACATAGTGTTTAATATTTACTGTGCCATTATAATTGTTAAATATAAACCCCCTATAAAAAGGATCTATAATCAAAAGAAGATTAGTAGTATATCTAAGATTGTTTGAAAAATGTTCAGGGATTATTGGTACATTATTTTCATCCAAGGTTAAGTCACCGCCCATTTCAATAATTGTACAACCTAGGCTCCAAAGATCAGAACTAAAAATTGTTTTACCATTTCTTGCTTCAGGTGACATGTGTGTCGGTGTTCCTGCAAATGTTGATGCTTTATATTCTGTAAATTTTGAAATACCAAAATCAATTATTTTAATTTTAAAATCGAGGTTAACTAAAATGTTTTGGCATTTAATATCTCTATGAATTATTTTATTTTTGTGAAGAAAATTTAAACCATGTTCACACTGATTCACAATATTTAATATCAAATGTTCAGGAAATCTTTGATTTCCTATTTTCTTTAATTCTTTATCCATTGATTCATATCCTTCTAGATATTCCATATATATATAAAGTAAACCATTATCATTGTTATTTTGATCTACACCAAAGCCATACCCATAAAACTTTATAATTTCTTCACATTGTGTTTCTAAACCAATTAATATATCTATTATTTCTAGTTCTCTTTTGGCCTGGTTTTTATAAAAATAAAAAATTAGATGGAGGAATTGAAGATTTAAATTAAATTTTTTAAAAATTTACAATTTTTTCAAACTTTTTTGTATCTATTATTTTAATTACACAATCACCATTATTTGGTAATTGTTTATCATTTATTTTACCATCTAATTTTTTTGCTTTATAAACTCCTTCACTAAATGATCCTTTACCTAATGGATTGGATTGGTCAATTAACCACTCACTATCTATATGTTTTGGGAGGTTATCACTCATTTATTTTATTAAGGTTGTGTTTTTTATAATTAATAAAAAATTAAATTTTAGAAAAAAAAATTAATTTTTAAAAAAAATATTTTTTTTTAATTTAAAAATTTTTTTATCAATATATATTTTTGTAATTTGCAATTTTAAAATAATTATTAAATTTTAAAAATTTTTTTTTTTTATTTTTATAAAAATATTTTACTTTTTGTTTTTCAATAAAATAAAATGGTCCATTACACCTGATTCATCAGAAGAATATAAACTCGAGAAGAATGGATTATTGATTTAAATAAAGATAATTCAAATTATTGTATTGGTGTTTTTTTAGCAAAAAAAAGAGAGAAAATATACAAAATAAAGTTTTTTTGGGATAAACGATCAAATTATTATATATGTGCAGGAACATCTACTCATAAGACACTAGAGGTAACATTCCAAAATAACCAAGCAGGTAGAAGATCAGATATATGGAGTGTTGGTTGCACACTAATCGAGAGATTTACATCAATTAAATGGTATACCTGAATTACCTGAAATACCTGAACATTTATCTGAAGAGTGTAAAAACCTTATTCATCATTGTTTAATCTATGATCCAGAATCGAAACCAAAGTTTATTGATCATTTAGAACACGATTTTATTGTAAGTTATAGTTAATAAATGAAAACTATTAAAATATACTAATTTCATTTTACTTTATATATTTAATAAATAGAAAAATGATAATGATTTATCAGAAAGGAATAAAAAAATATATAAAAAATATTAAAAAAAAAATTAGTCAAGATAATACAATCGAATTATATAATAAAGATCTCAACAGTGTAGATATTATTGAATATAAAATATTTAATTTTTCCAGAATTCAATGATAATAATTTAAGTGGTCTTCTCTATTACCACCAAATATCACTCATATCACTTTACCGATATTTAATCATCTAATTGGACTCAAATTCTATACCGTCGACAATTACCTCGCTCACTATGAATTCATTTTAATCAAGATTTATATGAAAAATCGATTCCAAATACATTAACAGAACTAATTCTTGGGTGAAGAATTTAAAATTAATGAATATGGAGATAATATTCCCGATTTCATTAAAAAATTCGAATATGGTTATAATTTCAAATCTGAATTAAAAACAATAAAATTCCAGAAAATGTGCAATCATTGGTATTGAAACTATAACCATCCCATTGTTAAAGAATGCATCCCAAAATCAACTCGTTCATTAACATTGGGTTCTAACTTCAAAGATTTTGCCTCACTATAATAAATCCCATCAACAGTATTCAATTTAACATTTGGTGTAAAAGATTACCAAATATCAGACAGCGATTAAAAATTTAGGATTAATCCTATTTTTAAACCTCGATCCTGAACTATAAGTGAATTAATTAAATTATAATATTTTTAAAACCATTTTCTCAAATCAAAAATCAAAAATTATATTAAAAAAAAAAGTTTGTTTTTATTATTCGAAAAAGAATTTAATTTTATTTATTTTAAATATACTTCTACTTCTTCTAGAGGAACATTTTTTTTTATTTTAACTTTATCTCTGTTATCTTCTATTCCAATATGAAGAAAAATAATGGATTTGGGTAGATTTTTTAATGACTCAAAATGTGTAAATTTTGAACCTAACTCTAAAAAAAAAACACTGGATGGAATACTATCTTCGACTATGGGTTGGTTGTAATTTGGTAGGAATAGTATTTGAATATTTTTTGTAATATGATTATTTCTTTTTAATGGTGATTTAAAATTATATCCGCATCTAAAGACTTTTATTGATGAAGGAATAGAGCCCCCATATTTTAAAAGATTAAAATTATCACCCAAAGAAAGAGACTCCACTGAGTATGGAATAGATGAATCTTCGAAATCATGTGTATTTGATTTCAGAGAAAGAACTTTGATTGATTTGGGTATTGAGTTTTCTATAATTGGATGATTATGTGAGTCAAGGAGGAGTCCTTCAAGTGTACAAGGAACCGAGTCAACAGGTATTGGATGATTAAATAGAGGCATCGATAAACATTTTACAGTGTGTGGTATTCCGTTTGGAAATGTTGGGTGGTTATAAGATAATAGTGTGAGATATTCTACTGATGATGGAATAAAGTGGAATGATATTGGTTCATCAATTATTAAACCTAAGTATTTTATTGTCGATGGGATAGAGGTTTGTTTTTCGGGGTTTGAAAGATCAATGATTGTTGATATGCCAGATTTTATTTGATCACTTATTCCCTCCATGAGTTTTTTGGTCTAAATTATAATGTGGTAAAAATTAGTATTCTCAAATAAAAATATATATGTAGTGTTTTAATATTTACCATGTTACTATAATTATTAAAATAAACTATCCCTCTATAAAATGGATCTTTAATTAAATGAAGCCTAGTCACTAATTTAAGACGTTTTGAAAAATGTTTAGGGATTTTTGGTACATTATTTTCATCTAAGGCTAAGTCACCACCGCCCATTTCAATAGCTGTACAACCTAGACTCCAAAAATCAGAACCAAAAGTAACTTTACCATTTTTTGTTTCGGGTGACATGTGTGTTATTGTTCCTCGGGTTTTTGATGCTTTATAATCTGTATATTTTGAAATACCAAAATCAATTATTTTAACATTGAATGAGTTAAATATTATGTTTCCGCATTTAAAATCTCTGTGAATAATATTATTTCTGTGAAGAAAATCTAGCCCCTTATGACACTCAGATAGAAAATGAAGTATTATAAAATCAGGAAGTCCTATGTCTCCATATTTCCCTAATACTTTATCTATTGATTTATAGCCTTCTAGATATTCCATATATATATAAAGTAAACCATTATCATTATTATTTTGATCTACACCAAAGCCATATCCATAAAATTTAATAATTTGTTCACATTGTTCTTCCAAACCAATTAATCTATCTATCATTTCGAATTCTCTTTTGGCCTGTTTTTTATAATAAAAAATTATTAATTGGAGGAATTGATGATGGATATTAAATCTTTTATAAATTTACAATTTCTCCAGATTTTTTTGTATCTATTATTTTAATTACACAATCACCATTATTTGGTAATTGTTTATTTTTTATTTTACCATCTAATTTTTTTGCTTTATAAACCCCTTCACTATATGACCCTTTACCTAAAGGATTGGAGCGGTCGATTAACCACTCACTATCTATATGTTTTGGGAGTATATCATCCATTTACTTTATTAAGGGTAGATCTTTTTTATAAATTAATTTTTTATATCTTATTTATTTACCTAAAAAGTTTTTATGTGTGAAAAAAAATATTTCGTTTCGAAATTTTTCAAAATCTAAAAAAAATTTTCAAAAAAAAAAAAAAAAAAACTAACTGTTTTCCCATTCATTTGGATCAATCTGTTTGTTGAATAATTTTGTTCAAATCCAAACTTGACGAAAGGGTTTAATAATTTTTAAATTTTTTTAAAAAATTTTTTAAAAAATTTTTTTATATTGCATAATAAAAAATTAAATTGAAAAAAAAAAAAGAAATTTATTTTTATTTATTTTGCCATTTCTTCAACATTTATTAAAAATATTATTTGGAAATATTTTGAAATACCAAAATCAATATTCCTTATATATAAAGTAAACAAAAATCATTGTTATTTTGATATACACCAAAGCCATATCCATAAAATTTGATAATTTGTGTTTCCAAACCAATTAATATCTATTTTAATAGAAAATTTATTTTTTAGAAGCAGTAATTTACTTTTTTGCTTTTTTTAAATTTATAAACAAAATTTTTTTTTTTTAAAAACCAAATTTTTTATTAATAATTTGATTTTTTTTTTAAAAATATTTAATTTAAATTTATTTTAATAAAAGGACTCAATAGATTTATTTTATAAATGATCAACCCGGTTTTACCTAAATATCTAATATACACAATTTTAAAAATAATTATAAATCATGTTTATAAAAATACACACAGACCAAGATATTTTTACAGACTTTTTAGATATTTATATTTTAAAAGAGGGATGCCATATAATGAAGAAATAATAAACTATTCATTAGTATCAAAAGATTGGTTTGCAAATTGTTCAAATATATTAGTGGATGCTTTAAGTTTCGAAAATTATAATTTTCTAAAACAATTTATGGATGATGAAACAAAGAATAGTAAATACAAATTATTGTCAATAAATAACCTTCAACCAAATAAAAAAATAATTAAAATAATAAATTCAGCTTTTGATTACCAGTTTAATGTCAAATTTCAAACCTATGACTTTTCAAAATTCAAAAAAAATCTATATTAACCTTGAAATTGATGAAAATTCAGAAATAGGTGATTGGAAATATCAGTATCCGGATAATGTAAGGTTTAATTTTAATTTTATTTCAAATGGCAGGGATTTGGATTTTTTAAATCAATCAGTGCTGGACCTTAAATCAAAATCAATAAACCTAATTAGCTTTACAGGAAAACCATACACGCAATCAATGGATTATGGAGCAGTTGATAAATTCACAAGCATGGTATTAAGCTATAACCCCAAAAGAGTTTTATATCACATAGATACACCTTTTGAAACGGATATTTCACAATTTTTCAAAAGCAATTCATTACAGCATTTAAATATAGCACTGCATTCAAAATTAATTATAAAGCATAAACCAGAATCAATTAATTCAAATATAAAAGTATTTAGAATTCCTTTCGATTTTTTCGATTTAATATATAGTGACAATTCCACACACAGCCAAGATATCAAAAATAATTGGTTATCAATGGTAGAGTTTTTGTCAAATACCAAAACAATAAGAGAGCTAGAACTGGGGAATAAGTACGAAACAATTATCAAACCAACCCATAATACCAAACCAGATTTCAAATTGTTGCTCAAAGGCCTTTCATCAATATTAAATAACAACAATGGGAACACCAATATAAATACTCTTCACCTAAATGGTTTTCAATTTATAATCAAAAATAAAAACTTTCTTTCACAGTTATCAAATAATAAAACTATCCACACATTAGTTTTATCCAGAATGGAAATAGATGAAATATTTAAATCAGTATTAAAATCAAATACCACCATTCGAAATATTCATATTTTTAATCCATATTTTTTAGATTCAGTTTTAAATTCGATAAAACTTTATTCAAATTTTAATTTATATTCAATTTCGCTATTCATTTTAAATTCAGAAGAGATTCTCACAAAATGTTTAGATTTGCTTTCAATGCTGCCAAATCCGCCAAAAGAGTTTACAGTTTATATTTTAAAGGACCACATTTATGAAGTAAGATCTAAATCTTATGGTATATATAATAATAAATCATTTACTATAAACGATACAGTCGTTTCGATAATACTTTTATTTTCAAACATAAGAGAATTTTAAAATAAAATAAATTGCTAATTATAACCATTTCAAATGCAAAAAAAAAAATTTAATATTGGAGGTATTATTAATATTTTAATGTTGTACAGTTTACGTAAAAAAGTTGAATATATCCGTAAAATTTGATAATTTGTTCACATTATGTTTCTTAACCAATTAATATCTCTTTTGCCCTGTTTATTATTAAAATAAAAAACTAATGCAAACAAATGTTTCCAAAGTTATTTTTGTTGAAGAAAACAAATTTAAAAAAGAATTTTGTTTTATTTATTTGATTATTACTTTACAACTTATTTCAAATAAAAAATATTATTTTGGCATTTAAAATCTATGTGAATTATAAAATTGTGAAGAAAATTTAGCACTTTATGTAACTGATCTTCAATGTCTTTTTTTAAAATTTTCAGTAAATTTTCTGTCTCCTTGTTATTCTAATACTTTATTTATTAAATTAAAGATCAATTTTTATTTAAATTTTAATTATCTTGAAATTATGTTTGAATATATATGAAAATATAAAACTATGAATACTAAAAAAAATTTAAACTGAAGTTGTTGGTTTTTTCTCAATTTTGAAAAAACATTTTTGAATTTAAATTTATATTATTCCTATTTATTAATTTGATATTTAATGATTTCAAAAATCAATATGTTTGTCGCAAAATTTATGGCAAAAACTGTAAATCTTTGTCATTAACATAAAAGCGAGAAATAGTATTTGGAAAATTTTGAAATATTTTTACTCTATCTATTTTATTTTCTATACCAATATAAAAAGATAAAACTGATTTTGGTAAATTTTTTAATGATTCAAAATGAGTAAATTTTGAACCTAACCTTAAATAAAAAACACCAGGTGGAATACTATCTTTAACAATGCGTTGGTTGTAATTTGGTAGGTATAGCATTTGAACATTTTTTGGAATATTATTATTTTTTTTTAATGGTGATTGGAAATTATAGTTGCATTTAAAAGTTTTTATTGACGAAGGAATTTTGTCTCCATTTTCTTCAAGATTAAAATTATCACCCAAAAAAAGAGCCTCGACTGAGTCTGGAATTGACGATTCTTCGAAATCATGTGTATTTGATTCCAGGGAAAGAACTTTGATTGATTTGGGTATTGAGTTTTCAATAATTGGATGATTATGGGAGTCAAGGTAGAGGGCTTCAAGTGTATGGGGAATTGAATCAACAGGTATTGGATGATTAAAATGAGGCATCGATAAACATTTTACAGTTGGTGGTATTCCGTTTGGAAATGTTGGGTGGTTATAAGATGAAAGTGAGATACATTTTACTGATGATGGAATAGGGTGGAGTGATATTGGTTGATCAATTATTAAATTTAAGTATTTTGTTGTAGATGGAATAAAAATTTGTTCTTTGAGGTATGAAAGATCTACGGCTAAAGTTTCTGTTGTTTTGTACATTTTATACATGAGTTTAAGGGTCTAATATTATGTTGTGCTAAAAGTTAGTATTTTCTAATAAACACTATATTATTTTAATATTTACCGTGTTATTATAGTTTTTATATTTAGGTAACCCTCTATAAAAGGATCTTTAATTAAAAGAGCACTGGTTATACGTTTAAGATTATTTGAAAAATGTTCGGGGATTTTTGGTACCTGGTTTTCATCCAGGATTAAGTCACCACCGCCCATTTCAATAATTGTGCAACCTAGGCTCCAAAGATCCGAACTAAAACTTGTATTACCCATTCTTGTTTCAGGTGACATGTGTGTGGGTGTTCCTGCGACTGTTGATGTTTTATATTCAGTGTATTTTGAAATACCAAAATCAATTATTTTAACTTTGAGTTCGGAGTTAATTAATATATTTTGGCATTTAATATCTCTGTGAATTATATTATTATCGTGAAGAAAATTTAACCCCTTATGACACTGATCCACAATATCAATTATAAAATCTTCATTAATTCTTATGTCCCCTCTATTCACTAATGCTTTATCTAATGAAACATAGCCTTCTGGATATTCCATATATATATAAAGTAAACCATTATCATTGTTATTTTGATCTACACCAAAGCCATATCCATAAAATTTGATAATTTGTTCACATTGTGTTTCTAAACCAATTAATATATCTATCATTTCTAGTTCTCTTTTGCCCTGTTTTTTATTAAAATAAAAAAAAAATTTAATTGGAGGAATTGATAATAATAAATATTAAAACTAAATATATTTACAATTATTTCAAACTTTTTTGTATTTATTATTTTAATTACACAAAAACCATTATTATTTGGTAATTGTTTATCATTTATTTTACCATCTAATTTTTTTGCTTCATAAACTCCTTCACTAAATGATCCTTTACCTAAAGGTTTGGACCAGTTAATTAACCACTCACCATCTATATGTTTTGGGAGATAATAATCCATTTACTAAAAGGTTTTTTTTTTTATAAAAAAAAATTTTATGTGATTATTTATTTTTATATCTAAGAAAAATAAAATGGGGAAGTGATTGGAAAAAAAATTTTAAAAAACTTTAAAAAAAAAAAACTTATATTTTGCAGCAGAAAACTTAGTTTTGAAATTTTTTTTTTTTTTTAAAATTTTTTTTTTTTTTATTGAACTTCATGGATGAATAGACTTCATAAAAATAAAAAAATAAATTTTTATGAAACCAATAAAATTAATATTTTTTTTATCATTTTATTAATAAAAATAATAGTTTGCAGAGTAAAAAGATAATTTGGTATTAAATAATTATAAAAAAAAAAAAAATCAAATGGATTTTGGTAAATTTTTTAATGATTTGAAATCGTATTAATAATAGTAATTTTTTATTTCTTTATTATGAGCCTTGATTGATTTTGGTATTGAGTTTCTATAATGGGATAATTATGTGATTCAAGGAGGAGGCAGATATTATTATAAAAAAAAATTTTTTTTTTTTTTTTTTTTTTTTTTGTTAAATTTTTAAAAAATTAAAAAAAATGCATTTTTTTTTGAAATTTTAAAGTTTTTATAAAATTATTTTACTCCTGTTTTTAATAAAAATAAAATAGCCACTACACCAATGGTCACCATACCTGATTCATCAAAAGAATATAAACTCGAGGATGAATGGGTTATTGATTTTAATAAACCATTGAATAAAGATATAGATAATTCAAACTATTGTGTTGGTGTTTTTTTAGCAAAAAAGAAAGATAATATACAAAATAATTATAAAGATGAAATTAAAATACCCAACAAGAATGGACAATGTGTTTTAAAAATTGTTTCAAAAGAGCAATATGTAAGTTTATTATAACAAAGTAAATTTAAAAATTATTTATCTAATTTTAATATAATTTTTTTTAAAATAGTCTGATTTAGAAAGGGAAAAAGAAACATTAAAATAATTAAAAGAAATAAAGCATAATAATATAATAGAGCTTTACGATTATAGAGTTGGTAACTACAGGGAATACAAGGAATGTTTATTCATTTTTATGGAGTATAAGAGCGAATTTAAAACTATACAAGAGATAATAAAAGACAATGGGGTTATATATATACAGAAAATGAAATCAAAAAAGTTGCACATTATCTTTTATTCACATTGGCCTTTCTTCATAAAAAGAATATAATTCATAAAGATATAAAAGGAAGCAATATATTGTATCACAATACAAATGATAATCAAGTGAATATAAAACTTATCGATTTTGGTTTTTCAAAGTATTTTGGGGATAAACGATCAAATTATCATACATATGCAGGAACATCTACTCATATGGCACCAGAGGTGACATTCCAAAATAATAAAGCAGGTAGAAGATCCGATATATGGAGTGTTGGTTGCACACTAATCGAGATGGCCGGTGGTGATTTACATCAATTAAATGGTATACCTGAAATACCAGAGCATTTATCTAGCGAGTGTAAAAACCTTATTCAACATTGTTTAATCTATAATTCAGAATCTAGACCAATGGCTTCTGATCTTTTAGGACACGATTTTATTGTAAGTAGTAGTTAATTATATGATATTATTAAAAATTTACTAATTTTCATTTTTACTTTATATATTTAATAAATAGAAAAATGATAATGATTTATCAGAAAGGAATAAAAAAATATTAAAAAAAAAAATAATTTGTCAAGATAATACTATCGAACTATATAATAAGGATCCGCAGTTTGGATGTTACTATAGATAAAAATATAAAATTCATTTAATTTTCCCAGAATTCAATAATAATAATTTATGTGGTTTTCTCTCTCTATTACCACCAAATATTACTCATGTCACCTTACCGATATTCAATCATCCAATTGAACCAAATTCTATACCATCAACAATTACTTCGCTCACTATGAATTCATTTAATCAAGATTTATATGAGGAATCGATACCAAATACATTAACAGAACTAATTCTTGGTGAAGGATTTGAAATTAATGAATATGGAGACAATATTCCTAATTCCATTAAAAAATTCGAATGTAGTTATAATTTCAATTCTGAATTAAAAAAAGCAGCAATATACCAAAAAATGTACAATCATTAGTATTGAAAAACTATAACCATTCCATTTTTAAAGAAAGCATCCCAGAATCAACGCGCTCATTAACATTGGGTTCTAACTTCAAAGATTTTGCCTCACTATCAAAAATCCCATTATCGGTTTTCAACTTAACATTTGGTGTAAAAGATTACCAAATATCAGATGATGATTTAAAACTCATTCCAAAAACAGTAACAAAACTAACAATAATAAAAAATTAAACAATAAAGAATAATAATAAAAAAGCCATTTATTTTATTATATATTATTTTATTTTATTCCATGTAATCTTCTTTATGGATTGTTATTTTGGTAATATACTTTGGAATCTTTTCACTATTAGTTTCATTAGATTCTTGAGGATTCTTTACACCAAAAGTAATAAATAATAATAAAATGGATAGTTCTTTTAAGTATGAAAAAAAAAAAGAATTTTGTTTTTATTTATACCATATTTTGGATTAAATTCTCTGCCTCATTATTTATTCCAAAATCTACTTTGATTTCTGGAGTATTTTGTAATACTTTATCTTTATCATTGTTATCTTCTATACCAATAGTAAGAGTTAAAATGGATTTTGGTAAATTTCTTAATGACTCGAAATGTTTAAAATTTGATCCTAACTCTATAGAAGTAACACCGAGTGGAATACATTCTTTGATTATGGGATGGTTGTAATTAAGGAGCGATAGAATTTGTGCATTTTTTGGAATATTATTATTTTTTTTTAATGATGATTTAAAATTATGGTTGCATTCAAAAATTTTTATTGATGAAGGAATTTTGTCCCCATAATCTTCAAGATTAAAACCATCACCCAAAATAAGAGCCTCCACTGAGTCTGGAATAGATGATTCTTCGAAATCATGTGTATTTGAGTACAGATAAAGAACTTTGATTGATTCAGGTATTGAGTTTTCAATAATTGGATGATTATGAGAGTCAAGGAGGAGGGCTTCAAGTGTATTAGGGATTGAGTCAACAGGTATTGGATGATTAAATAAGGGCATCGATAAACATTTTACAGTTGGTGGTATATCGTTTGGAAATGTTGGGTGGTTATAAGATGATAGTGTGAGATATTCTACTGATGATGGAATAAAGTTAAGTGATATTGGTTTATTAATTATTAAATCTAAGTATTTTGTTGTCGATGGAATAGAAGTATGCTCTTCAAGTTTTGATAAATCAATTGTTGATATGCCAGGTTCAGCTAGATTGCCTATTTCTTCAATAAGTTTAAGGGTCTAATATTATATTGTGATTAAAGTAAGTATTTTCTAATAAAAATACAGAGAGTTTTAATACATACAGTGTTATAATTTTTAAAAATAGGATACCCTCTATAAAAAGGATCTTTAATTAAAAGAAGTTTAGTCATAAATCTAAGATTATTTGAAAAATGCTCGGGGATTTTTGGGATATCATTTTCAATCACATCTAAATTACCCCCTCCCATTTCAATAATTGTGCAACCTAGGCTCCAAAGATCCGAACCAAAACTTGTTTTGCCTATTCTTGTTTCTGGTGACATATGTGTTGGTGTTCCTGCAAATGTTGATGTTTTATATTCTGTATATTTTGAAATACCAAAATCAATTATTTTAATATTAAAATCAAGGTTGACTAATATATTTTGGCATTTAATATCTCTGTGAATTATATTATTATCGTGAAGAAAATTTAGCCCCTTATGACACTGATCTACAAAATGACATATTATATTTTCATGAATTCCTTCTTTTCCCATTATCTTTAAATATTTATCTATTGAATGATAACCTTCTAGATATTCCATATATATATAAAGTAAACCATTGTCATTGTTATTTTGATCTACACCAAAGCCATATCCATAAAATCTGATAATTTGTTCACATTGTGTTTCTAAACCAATTAATATATCTATAATTTCTAATTCTCTTTTGCCCTGTTTATTTATAATAAAAAAAACTATTAATTGGAGGAATTTGATGATAAAAAATTAAATCTTAATAAAAATTTACAATTTTTCCAAAATTTTTTGTATCTATTATTTTAATTACACAATCAACAATATTTGGTAAATTTTTTGCTCTATAAACTCCTTCACTAAGTGATCCTTTACCTAATGGATTGATGTCGTCGATTAACCACTCACTATCTATATGTTTTGGGAGGTAATCATCCATTTTTTTTTATTAAGGTTGATTTTTTATATAAAAAATTAATTTATATATCAAAAAAAAATTTGTGATTTTTTTATTTTTTATCTAAAAAAAAAATACATGGCAGAATTTTAAAAAAAAAATTTTTAATAAAAAAAAAATTAAAATTTATTTTTATTTTTACCAAACCAAAAAAATCATATAAAAATTTTTTCATGAATTAAGATAAAAAAATGAAAGTTTTTTTATCCAGAATGGAATATGAAATATTTAAATCAGTATTAAAATAAATTGCTAATTATAACCATTTCAAATGCAAAAAAAAAAAAATTTAATATTGGAATCATAAAAAAAACGATTTACATTTATTTTTGGAGCATTTTAAGATTTATATTTTTTTATAAATATTATAAAAAACAATCCAATTTTTATTTTTATTTTTATTTTTATTAAACTATTTAATTTATTAAACTATAATATCTTTTAAAATTTAAATAAAAAATTCTTTTTTTTTTTTGTTTTATATTTTTTTGATATTATTATTATTTATTTGTTTTTTTTTTTATAATTTTATTATTTTTATATATAACATTATTTAATAATTTATTCCACAATGGTTGATAAAAATTCTTGGAATCTTTCAGAATATTCTTCTGGTTCAACTGATGAAATTTCTTGTTTGGTTCCGAATCTAATTGTTTTATAGGTATGTTCAACTTTTTTACGTAAACTGTACAACATTAAAATATCAATAATACCTAAAAAGTAATGTTCTTCTGAATCACCACCTTGGGATTTAATACCACCTTCATCTTGTTGGAAAGCGGAAATATAAGTTTCATTATCCATTGAGTAATGTTTTTCTCTTTTGCTACGACCATTTTCTTTATTACGGGGTTCGATGGATGGAGATTGTTCGCAATCAGAGCTATCTTCTAATGTTGAACGTAATAATGATGGTGATGGTTGTTCTTCACGGTGAGGATAATGAATGCCAATTAATAAAGAGTAATCCATAATATTTAATTTTTGTAAAAGTTTGCAATCTTTTTTAATTTGATCGACAAATGATTGTTTCTTTGTTGGACCTAAATAGATTTTGTGTTTTCTATTTCTAAAATCTATATCTTTGAATGTGACTGATTCTGATTTTCTTTCTTCTACGGATGCCTCTCTACCAACAACTGAACCTTTGAGATCATAACGTTCGTGGATCTTCTTTTTGGTTGGGAATAAATTACCCATTACAACGAAACGGACTTGTCTACCTGAATGTGGTTTCACTCTATAAAGACCAAAGAAACGGGGTAATAATGAATTTGGGTTTGCTTCGATGTGTTCGAGGTACTCTGGTAAAATGTCACGAAGTAATCTAGCTTCATCTTTTGGAATGGTTTTGATGATAAACTTCATATCGTGAGAGAAAAAGAATAAACTGCCAGATTTACCAGGTGTTGGAAGTTCACGTAGTGCATTTTCGCCGTTCTTTAATGTGTTACAAAGTGATACCATAAAATCTGCTGTATCGATACCAAATAAATATCTTAGATATCTGAATGCGTTTGGACAATAATCTTTGAATTTAAAGGGACCTGTACTATGAGCATTGGTCATTGCCGAACCTGCACTGTCAAATCTAAGTGTTTTTGGTGAAGCATAAAAATCTTTTTGGTTTCTAAATTCACTTGGTTTACGTAATGTATGATATTGTTGTGGGGTTTTGTTGTTTGGTGCCCCATCTGTACCCATACTTTTACCAACTGCATTTCTAATACCAGTTTGAATATTTAACATTAAAGCCCAACTTGGATGACCTTTATATATAATTTCACCTAAAACATTCTTTTTATGTTCCAACTTTATTGATTTTGGTCTATGACTTAATCTTTTCTCCGCTGTATTATGTAAAAAAAAAAAAATTCGTTAATATTTTGGTGTGTTTTTTATTTAGTTTTATAAAATTATTTTTAAACTTACATTTTTGTTTCATCATTTTTAATCTTTGACTTGTATTTAATCTAACTCTATTTGGTGAATCAACTGAACTACCTGAGGCTTTAATATCTTCATAAACACTTGTATTTGGATCAAATTTTTCTACTTGATTATCAAATGAAACCTGGTTTTCTTTTTCATCATTGTGATTTGTTGTGGAGGTAGTCGTTGTAGTGGTAGTGGTAGTAGTGGTAGGTTTATTTTCATTATTTTCATTATTTATATTATTACTATTAGTTTCATTATTTTCGTCATTGTTAATATTATTATTTTGATTACTATTGTTTTCTTCATTAAATGATGGATTTCTTAAAACTTGTTTTGTATTTATTTCAGATTTTTTGAGACCATCTTCTTCAGCGACATCAGAGTCTAAAGAGTGTGATATTATTTTTTCATTATCTACAACGTCTCCTAAAATGCCGTCTTTTATTTTTGCAGAGTGTTCCTTATCCTCTTCAATTTCTATATTATTGCTGTTATTGGTTGTAGTAGATGTTGGTTCAATCTCTTCCCCTTCTTCTTCCTCTTCTCCTTTTTTATCTGCTCCATCAATTGATATTGGTGATGATACTGTTTCTATCTCTTTATTTTGTGATTGTGGAGCTGCTGTTGGTGCAAAAACTATTGATTCTGCTAATGCTGCATTTGTTGGTGGTTGTGGTACTTCTTGACCATCTGGTGTTTTAAGAGATGGTGTAAAAACCAATGATTCACTTAATGTTGGATTACTCATTCCTTAAAACTGTTATATTTATTATTGTTACTATTAATTTTTATTATTACTATTTTATTTCTATGAATAAATTTTGATTAATAAATAATACTATATAAAAAATTATAATGTGCAAAAATTTATTCTATAAATATGTGATGTGTTACTACTGTACAAAAAATTAAATAAATAAACAAACAATTAATTAATTTGATTTAATTAATATTGAAAAAAGAAAAACAAAAACTTTATTGTTATATATAAAAACTTGATTTGATTTTTGTAAAAATTATTATAAAAAAATAAAAAAAAATTTTTAAATAAAATTAAAAAAAAAAATTTTAAAAAAAAAAAAATTTTGAAAAAAAAAATTAAAAAAAAATTATTATCACAATGATATTGTCTAACAGTAATTATAACAATATCATAATAATTGTGTGAGTGAGAAAAAAAAAAAAACCACAACTTATTATTATTATATAAATAATTATTATTATTATTTAAATTGAAAAAAAAAAAAATATTTTATTGAATAGTGGGCGGGTTTATATATGCACTATTTTTATTATGTTATTATTATTATGCTATTATGTTTTTATTATGTTATTATTATTAGTTATGATATTATTTTATTATTATTTTAAAACTAAATAAACCATCCCATGAGTGTGAAAATGAATCTATATGTAGAATGTGTATATGTGTGTTTGTTTGGTGTGTGTGGGAAAAAAAAATTATGCAGTAATTTTATTTACAATTAAGAAGACTATTATTTTTGATTTAGATTATAAAATATAAATATAATACACATAACGTGCTATAAGACTATGGTTTTTAATTTATTGTTTTATTTATTTATTTGTTTATTTTGTTAATTTATTAATTATTTAATTAATGAAATAAAATAAAATAAATAGTTTTTAAAAAAAAAAAAAAAAATATTTTGTTTATTTATAAAATTACTTACATGTTAAAAAAAGATCTATAATTGTTTTATTTGGAAATTAATATTTATTTAATATAATATCAGCTATTATTTGGTTTTGTGTATATATATTAAGATATATTATTTGTGTATGATTATATTAATTCGAAATAATGGGAAAAAATATATTATTATGTATTTTTACAGGTATTATTATTACTATCTTTATCTATTTTTTTTTAATAAAATTGATGATAGATAATAAATGATGGATTTTATATGTTATTGATGATAGTGATGATAATGATGATGATGTTAAATTAAACTACTAATATTACAGTTTTATATTATATTATATTATTGTATGTTTATTAATATATATATGTTTTATGTGATGTGTTTATTCTATTTAGTTATATGCACAAAATAAAATGAACAAATTTAAAACAAAAAAAAAAAAAACTATCTTCTTTATTTTTATCGATACTAATATTAATACTAATACCAATACTAATACTAATAAAACACAATAAAAAAAAATAATGTTTATTATTTATCTTTCCCAATAATTCAAATAAAAAATTTCTTTAAAAAATTTTTTTTTAACGACTTTTTTTTTTTTTTAATTTATTTTTTATTTTTTTTAATAATTTTTTTTTGGGCTGTTTTGTAAATATTATAAAAAAAATAAATAATGGCAATAAAGAAATCTAAGAAATTTTTTTTTCCTTTTCCCC